AGAGGGAGAGAGAGGGAGAGAGAGGGAGAGAGAGGGAGGGAGAGAGAGAGAGAGAGAGAGAGAGAGAGAGAGAGAGCGAGAGAGAGCGAGCGAGCGAGAGAGCGAGCGAGAGCGAGAGCGAGAGAGAGCGAGAGAGAGAGAGAGAGAGAGAGAAAGAGAGAGAGAGAGAGAGAGAGAGAGAGAGAGAGAGAGAGAGAGGCGCGCGAGGGAGCGCCTCCCACCAGCCGTCGTTGAGCTCGAGCTCGAGCGGCATCTGCAGAGGACGGGCCAAGTCAAGTGCGGAGAGGGAGGTGGCGGCGCCGCGGAGCAACCTGACGCGCCGCGAACAACCATCCGTTCGAGAGACGATCCGTGCTTGCGTCCGACGGCGGCAGCGGCCGCACCCGCTCGTGCGAGACGAGCTCCTCCCAGCAGTTCGCGCCTATTCTCGTACGCGTGAAGAAATGCGCGCCTACTCTCGCACACCCGTTCCTACCAACAGCCGCAGAGGGAGCGCCGTCGTCCTCCTCGAAGGCGTCGTACCTGCGACGGTGGGGGCAACGGTGAGGCAATTGCGCGCGTGCAGACGTGCGCGTGTGCGGCGTACCGCAGGTACAGCTTGAGCGAGCCGACGTCGTTGGCCCACAGCACGGTTGCCCGATACTGCGAAGCCTTGAAGCCCTCATCCACCTCGTCCCACGACACCTCGACCGACTCGCCGAGGCCGTAGAACGCGAGCAGATCGGGCAAGCTCCGTGGCAGCAGCGGCAGCGAGTCGAAGGGCAGCAGCTGCAGCGAGTCGAAGGGCAGCGGCGGCAGCGAGTCGACGGGCGAGTCACCGTCGCCGTCGCTGTCGCCGTCGCCATTGAGCAACGCCAACAGGTCGGCCGGGAGCGTGGTGTGGCCTGCAGCCATTGCCACCTCGACGACAGAGGGACTCGCTGCGGGCGGGGGGGGGAGGCTGAACTGCGCGGCCGCCACCGCGGGTGAGTCAAAGTGCGCCGGTAGGCCGACCCAGCCGCCAGCGGACGTCCACAAAGGGAAGGAGGCGTGCAGGCCGCCGCCCGCAGTGGATGTAGAGGCGGCGGCGACAGCGGCGGCGGAGGCGGAGGCGCCGGCGGAGACGGAGGTGGAGGAGGAGGCGGAGGAGGAGGAGGAGGAGGCGGAGGAGGAAGCGGAGGAGGAGGCGGAGAGCGCGGGCGAGGCGGCGCCGATGACGGGGAGGCCCGAACCCTACACGGTGGGAGGAGAGTGAGGGGGGCGGTGAGGGCTGCAAACACACCTCGATGAAAGAAACGGCCTGCGAGACGTCGCCGGTCTCGTCGTCGCGAGCGACGTAGTCGAGCCCGGTGTCCGCCTCGTCGTCGTCCTCCGCGTCGAGCTCGACCTCGTCCTCCTCCACGTCGAGCCCGCAAATCCGCGCCGCGGCCGCGGCCGCCTGCAGCACCGGCAGCTCCTCCGCCGCGGCCTGGATCTCACCAAGCGCCGCGTCCGTGACCTCGTAGTACCGCGACGAGGTGTCGCCGCTGAGCACGCCGCGCGTCATGCGCATGGTGGCCTCCTGCTGCGCCTTGCTGACCGCCGCGCACACGAGGCAGCGCCCCCAGTCCTACACACACAAAGCGCCCTCTCATAAAAGTGGACCTATCGGCCTCGCAAGGCGGTGCCGGCCTGCTCGAGACCACGCAGCTGCGCCGTGCCGCGGCGTGTCAACTACAGGCGGGGAATGAACACGATAATTCCGTGCTCCGCCGACGGCCGCCACCCCACCAGGTGCGCGCCGCGAGGCTGCCCCACACAAGGCGGATGCAGCCGAACCGCACGTCGACCCGCCACACCTTGGGCCCGCGCTTGCCAAATGGGTTGACCAAAATGGCCGCGAAGACGGTGGGCCGGCCCGACGCCTGCGCCACCTGGTCCTGCTCGGCGAGCTTGGCGTTGCGCGCCGCGATGAGCTCCGCCTCGACGTCCCGGGGCGCCTACAGCAGTCACGCTGGGAGGCTGGGGAGGGGGGGGGAGACCGTGCCGGGCACGCCATCGATCGAGGCACCTAATGGCAGCCGCGCGAGTGAGACCGGCGGGGCGGGCGGATCGGATGCGATTCTCGGACCTCGCGCACCAGCTCGAGCACCGCCAGCTGATCATCGATGGAGAGGGCGGTCGAGACGAGCTTGCTCGGCCCAGGCGGCGGCACGGCAGCGAAGTTGCCCGGCTTGAACATCTCGCTGCCGAAGACGATGGCCCGCACATGGAAGCCGGACGGATTGCCCGCCAAGTTGCCGCCCATGCCGACCCTGTGTGCAAGTTGGGGAGGGGGGGGGGGGGGGTCGGTCAGTGAGGAGTGTGAGAAGGGGCCGAGAGAGGCGGCCGAGAGAGGGGCGCCCGCGAAAGAGGCAGCACTCGCGAGGCAAGTCGGCCGCCTCGACCTCCTTGAGAAGGCCGCCCTGCGAGAGCTCCTCGACCAGGTTGGCGTGCCCCGCCTGTCGCACGCGCGGGCGGGGTGGGGTGTGCGGCTCGGGGCTGCTCACGGACGAGGCGGGGACACCTGCACGAGCGGCGGCTGCTGCGGCGAGACCCAGAACAGGCTACACGACGCCGGGCGCGGCAGTGGTGAGAGCGAGGGCGGGGTTGGGAGGCAGAGCGAGGGCGGCTCGACGCGGGGCGGCCCTTGGTCGTAGGCGGCGGCGATCTCGACGGACGTCGCCGGCCGGCCCTGGTAGAGGATGTAGGAGTTCCACTGCTTGAGCAGGCACTGCGCGACGACCTCCCACGAGGCGAAGTTGCGCCCGCGCAGCACCATCCGCGACGCGCCCGTCATCACGTAGCAGAGGCTGCCCGGGTCCTGAATGGCAGGGGGGGGGGTGAGACTGCGGCGGCCTCCGGCCGCGAGAGGAGGAGGATGCTCGCCGCGACGAGCCGCGAGATGCAGGCCTCGACCAGGGCCTCCGCCATGGCGCGCGCGACAGCAATCCGCTGCTCGTGGGTGAGCTCGTCGGGCAGCTCCTCACGCACCACGCGCAGCACCGTCTTGTTCTTGCGACGCCCCGCGCGCTGCAGCCTCGCCGCCGCCGTCTACAATGGGCAGGGCGCGCGGCCCTGAGCCGGGCGGCGGCGGTGGGCGCGCGATCCAGGCACCTCAGGGAGGTGGCACTCGTGCATCTACGGGTCATGGCGTCCAGGCGGACGCGACTGACCCGGGGTGCCTCCTCGAGGGAGGCGCTGCCGCCTGCGCTGTCGCCCGCCTTCTCCTTGCGCGCCTTCTTCTTGGGCGGCGGCGCCTGAGGGAGGAGGGGGAGAGGGGCGGCCGTCAGTGGTGTGGACAGCACGCAGCCCGCGCCACCCACGGGTGGAATGTGTGCATGTGCGGGGCCAGCGCATCCAGAGGATGCACGGCGACCCTTGGCCACCTGCGCGGCGGCGCCGCCTGCGCTGCTGTCCCGTTTAAGCCCCTGCCGGTGGACGCGTTGCCGCACGCCGGATCGTGTGCGGCCGCGCAGCTTGTCGGCGATCTGGCGCCAGGTGAGCTCGGCCGCGACGCCGTCCGCGATGATCTGGTCCTCCGCTTCGGTCCACGGCTTCTGCTCGCTAGGACGAGTTTGAGCGCGTCTGGGACCCGTCCAACGGAGAAGTGGGGCTCCTCCCTTCTGCTCGGCCGCCTTCAGCCGGTGGAAGCGTCCCCGCACGGCGGCGTCTGTGCGGCCGCGCAGCTTGTCGGCGATCTCGACCCAGGTGAGCTCGGCCGCGACGCCGTCCGCGATGATCTTGTCCTCCGCTGCCGTCCACGGCTTCTGCAGTGTCATGACGCCTACAGCCTTTTCGAGCACAGCGTTCACACCTCGCTGTTGAGAAGAAATGCGCGGGCCCTCCCACAGTTTGAAAAGGGCGACGGACGCTTGCGTCGTAGCCCCCAACAACGCCTCCCCGGCGCAGAGGGGCCCCCGGAGGGATGCTCAACCGGTCCACGCCACGCCGCTTGCGGGGGTCCTATTCCGATTCCGCGTCGAAAAGACGCACGGTCATTTTTGAACGCGCGGGCGGCACGGCTGTCTTGCGTGCGTTGTAGAGCGATGTACGCGGCGTCACGCGAGCATGGACCCGGCCTCCGGGGACGGGTCCCGGGATGAGCTAAGCAGCGCCAGTCGAACACTAGTATCGGACCTTCAAGACATGCGCTTTTGGCCGGTGGCCTCCTCGGACAACTTGTGCAAGGGTGTGTGTCTGAGCGTGTGTCGTTGCAATGGTTACACTTGACGGTATCTTATCTCCCTCACGTGCACGCACGAGAGCACGAGTGACGAGAGCCGTCTCAAGACAACGCACAGCGAGGAGGGAGGCGTGAGGAGCGCCTCGCGTTGCCAAACCGCGGCAGGCAGCGCTCCCTCTTGGCTCTTGTACTTGTTGTCCCGCCGCCCCAGCCGATCGGCTACGACGGGGTGGTCAAGACTGCAAGGCCAAAAGCACCTTTTTACGCCACTACGGCAACCGCCGTTCGAGCCCCTGGCGTGCCCTGTCAGATCTCCAAGTCCAAAGCGCAGGCGCACCATGAAATTTCTCCCTTTGGAAGGATGACGGCATCCTCCCAGGTTTTTGCCCTTGGGCGTCTGCCTCTTCCGTTCCCTCGTCGTGCAGAATCTCGCCAATTCTCGCAGAGCGACCTTCATACCTTCATGTCACCTCGCGGTCGTCCAACCAAACTGCACCTCTGTGTGTTAGTTAGTGGCAGTACAGTGCGCGCCAGTCCCATGCGCATAAATAAATAAAGCGAGCGGCATCTCCATGAGAGATGGGCGACGCACGAACACAGAGGCACAGCGCGCGGAGAGAGGGCGGTCCTCCGCGCTCCGGCGGCGGAGCACCCACATCCCGCTTTTCGCGGGCAGGCACAAGGTTGTCATACCCCGTGATCCATACCGCCCCGTTGGAGGTAAAAAAACAAAAAACAAAAAAAAACTGGAGGTAGGCCGCTCGTCCAAAAAAGAAAGAAAACAGCCAACCCAAGGGAGGGATGGGAGGACGGGAGGGATGGGAGGACGGCACGCCGCCACCACACAGGGATTTTAAGGAGAGGGGTGTCATGCGCTAGCCGTCGCCCACCCACCCTCGGGCGTCCGCCTCTTCCTATCTCTCTTCGCAGGCCGCTCGTCTAATAAATAAATAAATAAAACGGAAATCCCAGAAAGAAAGAAAGAAAACAGACAACGACAACCCAAGGGAGGAAAAAGAAAGAAAGAAAGAAAACACACAACCCAAGGGAGGGATGGGAGAACGGCACGCCGCCACCACACAGGGATTTTAAGGAGAGGAGTGTGGTGCGCTAGCCGTCGCCCACCCTGGGGAGTCTGCCTCTTCGTATCTCTTTTCGCAGTCTCTCGCCGCTTCTCGCTGCAACCTTCATGCCACCTCGCGGCCGTCCCACTCTCGTCGGTCTCTCCCTTGTCACTTCCTCCTCTGTCGCGTCGTTCTCTTCTGCCTCGTCCTGCGACGCCGCCTCCTGCCGGTCCCTTGTTCTCGCGGCTTCTTTCGCCTTGCGCAACTCCGTCCTCCTCGCGGCGTATCCTGGCCCCTCGAGTCTATCGAGCTCCCCTCGCGCAAGGACCACATTTCTGACTCCCACTCCGATCATTTGCCTACACGTCATGTTGTTGCTCAGGTCCACTCTCGGAAATCATCCAAGGACGTTATTTTTTTCTGTCGGAGGCTGGACAGAGGCTTGGCTTGGAGACTCGGAGTGGAGGCAGACTGTACATCTTCTATCCGCCCACGCAACACAGTTCATGCACCTCATGATGGTCCTCCTCGCGCACACGCAGCCGCTGCGGACGGCGCTGCTGCGGCCGTGCGCGTCTCGCGCCGTGCGCGCCCTCGGCGCCCGCGCCTGCAGCAGCGACGCGGCCACCGCGCCGGCCGAGGCAGCGGCGGAGCCGGAGCAGCTGCGATCGACGTTTCTGGAGACGATGCGCTGGCGCGGCTTCCTCCACCAGTCGACCGACCTGGCCGCGCTCGATGACGCGATGAGCGGCGGCCGCGTCGTCGCGTACCTCGGCTTTGACGCGACTGCGAGCAGCCTGCACGTGGGCTCGCTGCTGCAGATCATGCTGCTGCGCCACTTCCAGCGCGCGGGGCACAAGCCGATCGTGCTCGTCGGCGGCGGCACCACCAAGGTCGGCGACCCTTCTGGGAAGGACTCCTCGCGGCGGCGGCTCTCACGCGGCAGGGCGAGAACCTTCTCGGAACCTTCTCGGCAACGTCGCTGTAGGACGCGTCGCGGCAGCTGCTCGACGAGGAGGCGATCGCCTCAAACATCGAGGGTATCTCGCGCGTGTTTGGGCGCTCCCCGACCGCTTGCGGCGGACGCGGCCTCCCGCCTCGTCTGCCGCCTCTCCAGCCTTCTCGGGGCCGCCGCTAGGCGCTTCCTCACCTTTGGCGAGGGGCCGACGGACGCTCTGCTCGTCAACAACGACGCGTGGCTCTCTCCGCTCTCGTACCTCGCCTTCCTGCGCGACTACGGCAGGCGCTCCGCCACCCGCCACCCGCCCCTCTCCCCACCTCTGACCACCCCCCTGACTAGTCTGCATCGCTGCCGGTCGCCCGCTGCCGCGACCCGGGCAGCGGGCGCTGCAGCACCTACCGCATGCTAACCAACTGCATGCTAACCCGAACACCCGAGCCCCGAGCCTCGACCCGAGCCCGAGCCTCGACCCGAGCCCGAGCCCCCCCCGGCCACCGGCAGGCACTTTACCATCAACCGCATGCTCTCCTTCGAGTCCGTCAAGCAGCGCCTCGCGCGCGAGTCGCCCCTCTCCTTCCTCGAGTTCAACTACATGATCCTCCAGGCAGACGGCTCGAGTGGCAGTGCCACTGCGACCACCATCGCCGCTACTCCTCCTCCTCCTCCACTCCGTACCACTCCGACTGCCACCACTCCCCTCCCGACCGGCCCTCCAGGCCTACGACTTTCTCGAGCTTCACCGGCGGCACGGCGCGACGCTGCAGTTCGGAGGCTCCGACCAGTGGGAAACGTCATGTCGCCGACATTTCCGAGGCTTGTCCGAGACTTGTCCGTAGGCTCCGACCAGTGGGGAAACATCATCTCTGGCGTCGAGCTCGGGTGTGGGCGGTGGACGGCGCACGGCTGCTCGCCGGAGCGTCTCGGACCCTTCTCGGACCCTTCCCCGCAGGCGGAGGGCGGACGGCGCGCAGCTCTTCGGCCTCACTGCACCGCTCGTCACGACGGCGCGGCGGCGAAGAGGCCGGCAGCGCGGGCGAGGCGGGCCCTCGGCCGACGTGTGTGGTCGGAGCCCGGTCTAGGCGGACGGCAAGAAGATGGGCAAGACGGCGGCGGGGGCGGTCTGGCTCAACGAGGACCTCCTCTCGCCGTACGAGTATTGGCAGTTTTGGAGAAACACCGCCGACGCCGACGTCGGCCGTTTCCTGCGATTCTTCACCGAGCTACCGCAAGACGAGGCCGAGATGGGCCGAGATGAGCCGAGATGAGCCGAGATGAGGAGAGAGGGAGGGGCCGGCGAATCTCGGCGAATCTCTGTGAATCTCGGCGAATCTCGGCCGGCCAATCTCCCGCCACGCCCCCGCCACTCTCCGCCAGGTCGAGAAGCTCGAGGCGCTGCGCGGTGCGCAGATCAACGACGCCAAGGCGCGTCGCCGACGCCGCCGCTCTGCGCGGAGTGTCATGGAGGCGTGACCTGTCTGTCGGACCTCGGGTCGTAGGTGGTCCTTGCCAACGAGGCGACCCGCATGCTGCACGGCGAGGCGTGTGCGGCGCCGGGGCCAGGCACACGTCTCGCAGACACGTCCGGTACGCGTCACGGCCATGACAACGCAGGCGTGCCTCGCGGAGATCCAGGCGACCGCCGCGTCGCTCTTTGCCGCGGGCGGCGGCGGCGGCGGCGGCGGCACAGCGTCGCTCAAGCGGGTGAAGCTCTCTGCGGACGAGGCGGCGGCGGGCGTGCCGGTCGTCGACTTGTTCGTGTCGCTCGAGCTCGGAAAGAGCAAGTCCGAGGTGCAGCCGCGATACCGCCGAGAGGCATCTCGGTCTCGGATGAACTTCGGCTTGCGTTCTCCGGCAGGTGCGGCGGCTCGTCGCCGGGGGGGGCGCCAAGCTCAACGATGTCAAGATCGAGGACGCCGCGCTGCTCATCTCGACGGCGAGCTTCGAGGCCGCCAGCGAGATCAAGCTCTCGGCGGGCAAAAAGAAGCACGGCGTCGTCGAGCTCGCACAGTAGCGGCTAGCGTGCGGCGCACACGGCACGGCTACGACCAGAACCACACGGCTAGGCCCCTCCAACATGCCCTCCCTCCAACCGCTTGCACGCTGCTGGTGGCAGATGACAGCCTTGGCCCTTGCGGCTTGCGCGAAGTCACTAATTCTGCGGCTTGGGGCTTGGGTGGCGAGGACAAAATAAATAAATAAATAAAACGGGCAAACTCTGAGACGAGATGGGATTTAGGGACATGTGTCCCCGCCCTGCACGATCTTGGTGTGAGGGATCTTCAATCCGTGTCCCCTCACCCCTCGTCACGTGGCGAGGACACACATTCACATCGTAAACGTAATCAACATAAATAAAGAGATTCGAGGTCTTATTCTCGCACCCACTCGTCCAACTGGGTTCACACCAAGGAATCGTGCGCAAACCAGGTGACATCTCCTAGCATATAGAGAGGTAACAGGTTCCCATCCCCCCTACGCCTACCCGGCTACTACCCCCTACCCGTTTATATTTCGTTTATTTTTTGTGCGGGTTGTAATCCTTGTATTTATTTTTGTGTGTTGGTGTTGGGGAGAACTTCGCTCCCGCGGTCGTGTGTTCGTCGTGTGCGGCCGTGGGGCTCGGAAACCATAACCAACACGTGTGCTGAACTAACAGAGTACCTTCATTGTTTTCTACTCTCACTCGTTGTCGGTGGGTGCGGCGCGCGCCCGCGCGCGAACGGGTTGAGATCCGTGGACGCGTCGATTGTTCCCCGCCGCGAGATCGGCCAGACGCGCACCACGGGCCGCGCGACCACGTTCTGCCTCGGGAGCGGGCCCCAAGTCCGGCTGTCGGTTGAGCGCTCCGGGCAGTCGCCAAGCACAAACAGGCTGCCGTCGGGCACAACGCGAGCGAAAGTGACGGCGCGGGGCTCGCCGCCGGACTCAGCCTTGATGCCGCCGCCGCCACCGCGCGGCCCTGCGCACTGGAGCGGCGGTGCGGCGCGCGGCTCGCCGTTGACGACGATGCCGCCCTCCGGCGTGAGCGCGACCTTGTCGCCGCCGATGGCCGCCACTCGCTTCACAAAGAGGTCTCGCCCGCCGAGCGTGCCGCCGGCCGCCCTCACCTGCTGCTGCAGCTCAGCGGGCGGCGAGAACAGGACGAGGTCGCCTGAAGGAAGCTTCGAGGGAGAGGTCGAGGGCAAGTCTGGGGCGAGCGGCGAGGCGGCGAGAAGTCACCCCTCTCATACGGCAGGTTGACCAGCCGAGACACCTTCTCGGCGAAAATCACGTCGCCGACGGCGAGCGTCGCCTCCATCGAGCGTGACGGGATCGCGTAGAAGGAGCCAAGCTGCTCAGTCATGAGTCACGGTTTGATGGGTGATTCGTGCCGGGATCGCGGACAAGGATCCGCTGCGACGGCGAGCGGCGTGCGATCATTTTGCCTCATGCGCCGGTCTCAGCGTGCTCTCTCGATCCGATCTCTCTCTGTGCAATCTCGGCGCGATCGCGTCGCCTGCGAGGCAAGGAAGCCGGCCCACAGCGGCGAGGCGCCGACAAGGACGAGGGCGACCAGCACGCGGCCTGAGCTCCGCGCCTGTTCTCACCGGCAGCCTTGGAGAGATGCCCCCCCAACAGCCGCGAGCAGGCGGCCCAGGCTCCCGCGCCGCATAAGCCAGCCGCGCGGGCAGCGCTCGGAACCCGAGCCGAGATGCGAGCGGAGGCAGCGCGTCGGCCGGCACGCCCACCGGCCAAGTCTGGCCCTCCCTCGTCAACGTCGCCCTCGAGCCGTCCGCGGGCGCCTCCCGCGTCCGCTTGCTGAGCGGCCTGGCCACGCCCCGGAGGAGCGACGCGCCAGGCAGGGAGCTGCCTGCGGGCAGGCTCCGTGACCGGTCCGGGAGACAAGTCTGGGAAAGGTCTAGCCCTGCGCCGGCTCGAGAGCTGCCGGTATCGTCGTCGTCGAGCAGCAAGGCGCTCTCCCCACCGCGGCCCTCGCCCTTGCCCCCGAGGCGTGCGCCGCCCTCCTCTCGCGCCGCCTTGGAGGTGGGTAGCAAGTACACCTGCAGCCAGTGATACCGCTGAGCACCACGAAACTCTGGCCCTATCAGCCTCGCCCATCTCGCAGCAGCTCGCCATCTCTCATCGCGGCTCGTCGCGGCTCAATCTCGGCGCATCTCAGCGCCGCACCACGCCGCCCTCGCCGCTCGCCGTGTCGCACTCGAAGCGCGGCTCGCCCTCCGCCGAGAGGATGCGCATCACGCGGTACTCGAGCCCCGGCGTGCAGCGGTAGGCGCCTGCAGGAAGGACAGGTCCAGGACAGGTCCAGGAGGAATCCGTCCCCGCGGCGTGCAGTGGCAAGCGCCGCCCGCGCTGAAGCCGCCCGCGCCGCTTCCACCCGCGCCGCCTCCGCCGCCTCCCAATGCAACGACCACCTCTCCGCACCGGATCGAGCCGGCGGGCAGCCGCTGCGTCTGCTCCGCCAGCGCCGCGAAGCTCGACCCGCTGGCGCACGGCCGCTCGCCCCACACGCTTAGCCTGTGAGGCGGGCGGGCGACGCGCTGATGGCGACACGCGGCGCCGAAGCGCGAGCCTCTGTGCTGCTCAGTCGGCGATGCTAAGCGGCGCAGCGAGGTGCTCCGAGGCGTGCAGCAGCGTGTGAGGAGGCCGGGTGCGTGTCTGCTACCGGCGCTAGCGCTCACTCCACGTCGACGGCGAGGACGCGCTGCTCATTCTGCTCGAGTTCGCGCAGGAGGTCGCTCGAAGAGTAGAGGTGGGCTCCCCAGTCGTCGCACCGCCCGACCGACTCACCCGCCTCCTTGGCTTCGCAAAAGGTCATGCCGCATCTGAAGGTGCTGCCGCGGACACAGCCTGGCGCTCGAGCGGCCGGCGCCACCTCGAGAGCCGCGGGGCTGGGAAGCACCTGCAGGCTCATCGCGAAGGTGGCGTCCACCTCTTTGCCTCCTCCTGCAAGTCGCTTGATGTAGACGCCGACGCGGTCGGCGTAGGACTCGCCGGCGCCAAGCAGGTACAGCTGAACTTGCCAGCTGCTGCCGCCCGCCTCAAAGGGCGGCGAGTCGATTCGTGCTCCAGGTGTGGAAGTTGTCTCGTCGGCGAGGAGTCGGGCAAGGGTGCGGCGTGGAAATGGAATGGTTTTGGTCAGCTCTGCGATCGGCGTCCGGCGAGGAAGGCTGAGGTGAGACAGTGCAAAGAGCAGCATCTCAGACAGATGGAGGGCTGGCGACAGATGGAGGCTACATCAGAATAGGGAATTCATTTATCACAGATACCATACCAGCAAAGTACCCGAATCCAACTCCAGGTGCCCAAGCGCACACCGGCCGGAGCGCCACCGGGGGGTGCCGCCCTCCCGTTCATGAGCCCAACAACACGAACGCTATCCATCCTCACCGGCCCCCATCCCCGTGTGGTCGGCCTCGCCGCGCCAAGCCGCGGCCCGGTCCGCCCGGCGGCCAAGGGCGGGGAGGGGGCCACCCGCGCTCGCGCAGGTGCGACCGTCAAGGGTTGGCTCTCCTGGCGCTTACCAAAACCCGGGCCAAAACCGAGAGAGGGCGAAGAGAGGTAGGAATTCACACGGCAAATCGCAACCAGCGTCGCTGCAGTCAGCCCGGAGATGCACGTCGGAGAGGTGGAGGTCGGCGTCCGTGCTCATATACACCCACCAAGTCTACCTAGGAGCTACTGTAGGAATTCGGCCTCGCCTGCCATCTTCGATTCTCGGTCGATCGCGCGTCCCAAAAGTCGCCAAAAGTCGCCAAGCGTGGCGGCTCGCAATCACCCGCCCGCCGTCCCGGCGGTCCCGCAGCTCGCGCGAATCTCCCTCTTAACCCACCTCTAACATCACAATAGGGAATTCCTAGACAGTGTGACGCCTACTGTGAGAGTGTGAATTCGCGGAGCGAAGAAAATTTTATACTTCGCTTTTGGGAAAGTTTTTGGAATACGTTGGAATACGCACGTATTCCACCCCCCCCCCCCCGCAGCGCTGAAATTAAAGAAAACGAACGCCCGTTCCAGGAACCGTCCTCGAGATCGCGACCAACTATGCAAAGCCGCCGGACTCCAGCAGACCCCCAAGCCCGCCGGCGGCGCCGGCGCCGCCCCGCGCGTGCGCGCCGCGCCGAAGCCCGCGCCCAAGCGCGATGGCCCACTCTGGCGCTCAGTCAGTTAAGGTGATCTCTGGTCCGTCTACGGGGCAATCAAGACGACGGCGCGCGGGCAGATGGGTCACGCCGTCGCCGACAAGCGCGTCTACTGCCACGAGGCGCTCCACCTCAAGGGCAAGCTTCAGACCGCCGGCTACAAGCAGGCGGTCGAGAAGTGGGATACCGACTCCGACTCGGACAGCTCGGACGAGGAGGACCTCAAGATGTGAGGCAAGCGCGGCGGCGGCAGGGGCGGTGTGGGGGGATGGGCGGTGGGGACGCTGCTGTGAGCACGTCGGACGCCACGCGCGGGACCTCCTTACGGTGCGCGCCGCGCACGCGCGCGCGGCTCGCACGCGCGCGTGCGCGTACAGTCTTATAGCTTATACACAGTCGGCACGCGCGTTCCGCGCGTGCCCCGCTGAATACAAATACTACCCATTCTAGAGCTGTTTTGGAATACGTGGAATACGTATTCACACAGTAGGAGTGTGAGGTAAGTGTGAGGTAAGTGAGAGACTGCTGGTGAGAAGCCGGAGGAAGGTCGCTAGTCGAGAGAGATCGCCAGTGGAATAGGGAGTCCACCGTGCTGCGAGCCTGTCGCTGTCCCTTGTCAGGAGCAGGAGAACTAACTAGGAGAGCGCAACCAGTAGGAGGCCCGCGCCTGCCCCCGTGCCGCCGGGTGCAACCTGTCCTATACGAGAGAGGAATCCCTGGGACCCTGTCGTGTGGGTGAACCCTGCCCAGCCTCCCCCCTCCGTGTCGCGATGCGCTCCCCGCTCCCGTTCCCCTGTGTCCTGATCGTCCTTACAAGATCCTGCTCGTGCAGGTGGGGACCCTGTCCTTCTCCCACCCCTCGTTTGGCGTGCCCGTTTTATTTATTTATTACACCTACCTACCTACCTACCTACCGGGCATAGGAATTTCATTGGGAATTCCTATCTGCAGTGCGGCCCGCGCATGACCACACACACACACACACACACACACACACACACACACACACACACACACACACACACACACACACATAGTCGACGAGATTGGAAATAAGGAGAAAGAAAAAATGCACTTCCCAAGGGGTTGATGCTCCTCGCCGTGCTCTGGCGTATTCCACACATGGCACCACATGAATCGCCAACCGCCCGCCCATGCCGAAGCCGCCCTCCACCTCTCCCATGCCGCCCCCCCGCCCTCCACCTCGCCCACCCCTTTGCCGCCACCCTCTCCTTCGCCGCCCCTCGCCCCCACCGACCTCCACCTCCACCCCTCGCCCTCCCCCCCCGCCCTACCGAACCACCCACCGCCCGCCCATGCGCATGCCGACCTCCGTCCTCCCGCCGCCCTCCCCCCTTCCCGCCCCTCCACCTTCGCCATCCCCCATCTGTGCGCTCCACCCCGTCCGCTCCCTCCCGCTTGGCGCCCATCCCGCCCTCCGCCCTCGCCCCCCGCCCCTGTCCTGGCTGGCCTGGGTGGCATCTCCTCATCATCACGCGCCCAGGCGGGAGGGAAGTGGACGGGGCCCTGAGCTGACCTAGCCGCCATACGGAATGGGGCGCCCAACACGTGCCGGATTACTGTGCCTTCCCCGGGCACAGCCTTTCGGTTCGTGAAGGGTCGGTGCGTGTCGTGACCCCCTGGAACACCCGTACCCCCGCACCATCTCCGTCGCTTGGTTCCATAACCTCTGCCACAACCGGGAGCGGCCAGGGCTCATAGACTCGGTCGAAAGACCCCAGATTGGCATCCATGCCTCTCTGGACAGGGTGGCCCGCCACAAGGACCCCAGGAATTGCGACTCGCCGCTTTCCTCCCGCTGTGATTCTGTGTGAGCTCTGTGTCTTGATTTGCCAACAATATACCTAAACATGAATCGCCGTGCCGCTTGCAGCGCGGGGTTCCCACAGACGCTCGGAGCCGAACCCACGGGCATACATGGCCATCGGCCTCGTCTACGACGGCCATGCGCAGCACCGTCCGCCAGCGAGCGCCAGGGCCACGCACATCGAGACGCCCGAGCGCGTGAGCGTCATCTACCGTGCGCTTGGCAAGGCTCGGCTGCTGGACCGGCTGACGCGGGTGGCTCCACGCGAGGCGACGCGGGCGGAGGCGGAGGCGGTTCACACTGCGGAGCACCTCGACGCCCTCGAGGCGCTCGCCGACGCCGAGCCGTCTCTCCGAGGCGCGTGGCGCGGCGGCGCGGGTGGCGGCTGGTCGCTCGGCCGCGACATGTTCCACGATGCGCAGACGGCTTGTGCGGCACGGCGGGCGGCGGGCGGCGTCGTCGCACTGACCGAGGGTGTCCTCCGCGGCGAGATCTCCTCCGGCTTTGCGCTCGTGCGCCCACCCGGCCACCATGCCTGTGAGGACCGGATGGCGGGCTTCTGCCTCGTTGACTCTTCGCCGCGGCGTGAGAACGGCGTCTCTCCACACGTCTGGCTGCGGCTAGGCGGGCTTCTGCTTCCTCAACTCGGTCGCGGTCGCCGCGCGGGCTGCGCTCTCTCCGCGCGGCGGGCTGCGGCGGGTGCTCGTCGTGGACTGGGATGTGCACCACGGCGATGGGACGCAGGCCATCTTCGAGGAGGACCCGGCCGTCCTCTTCTTCTCGCTGCACCGCTTCGGGCGCGGCTTCTTCCCTGGCGCGGCAGCACGGAGCCGCGCCCCGCTGGCAGGGGCTGAGGACGGACTCCCTCTGCCCCTCTCCTTCGCGCAGGGACCGGCGCCGCGAGCTGCGTGGGCGGCGGCGCCGCTGCAGGCAATAGAGCTGCGTGGGCGATCTACTGTCTGCGATCTACTCTCTCTAGTAGGGATCTTGATTACTCGTACTTTTAGCTTACTAACCCGAGTTAAACTAGCAGGCCGAACCGTCAACGTGCCCTTCCGGCGCGAGGGGGTGAGGCCCCCCGCACCCGGCTGAGCCTTCTCGGAGCCGGCTCGGAGCCTCCCCTGTAGGCGCGAGGGGATGGGGGATGCCGAGTACTTGGCCGCGTTCGACGCGCTGCTGCTGCCGATCGCACGCGCCCTTCCATCCTCCTCGTCTCCTCCGCGAGCTCACCCGAGATTGGGCCGAGATTGGCCCGAGAGTAGGCGCGAGCCTTCGATCCGCAGCTCGTCCTCGTCTCGGCCGGCTTCGACGCGGCGGGCGGCGACCTGGCGGACGAGCCGGGGGGCGGGGGCGGGACCTCTCCCTGACTCTTCTCTCCCTCCCTCCTCCCCTCCAGGCGGGAGGCGACAGGGTGGGCGGGATGGACCTCACCGCGGGTGGGTTCGCGGGGATGGCGGCGCGGTTGCGGTCGCTGGCGGG